GTTGCGCTAACAAGAGCGCTGCAGGTGGACGCTAGCGTGGAAATCACTGTGATGGTCATCACAGAATCCGAGGTCGAACTCCTTGTTGTGGTGGTAGCAGGAATATGGCAAGGCACAGTGCTCGATGTGATCACTGAAGTGGTTGTTAAAGTTCCACTCGCCTTCACTTTAGAGCAAAGCAACCAATTTTTTCCTTGCATGATCCGCTTCCACCTACATCATCAAATGCTGATCGGATGTAACACCTTAGCCTCATGTAATCGCATCTCACTACTTCAACTCCCTTCAATTTGATTAGCAAAATAAAGCTCTATTAAAGGTTAGCTTTAGTGGTAGATGCCTCGAGTTAAGATTTAGCTAGGCGTTCTACTTAACGCGCATAGAAGACTCACATTCTTTTAAGGGTAGTGAAGGTGCGCTAACCCCGTCACTTTAGGAAGCATATTTTGTAGCTGCAGGGCTACTACCGTTGAAACAACCTGCACAACTCGACCCAGCAACCTTTTCGCCTGATTGTAGAGCTTTGATGTAAAATGGATTTGTCATTGTTTCGTACTCCTTTGTCGCCGAACTGCCTTTTGTATAACTGATACGATACATAATAATAATGCTGTCGTCGGTAGGTTTTAGCGGATTCCAACTCAAACCCCCAGTGGAAGAGTTGATTGCCCTCAGTTCTACATTTTGTGAAGCGCTAAAGACTAAAAACGAAAATACACTGATCTGCCTTAACGGTGCTTTAAACAAACTCGAGCATTAAGACAAGTGTGCCAACGCTAAGCTCCAAATGCATGACTGGTGTCCAAGAGGGCTTTGACCTGCACGTCACTTGATCGAGTGAAGGTCCGAGGTGTTGAGCTATGCAAGTCCATCCCAAGTGACCACATTTGAACTTAGGCATTTGCAAACCTTCATTGAGATCTCAAAAGCATCCCATTTTGTCATTCCCCACTCACCAGTGCGTGAGTCTTTAGCCTCAAAGACATTTGTGACGATAGTGATGCAGAGTGGTAGTGACTCCCATGCTGCTGTGTTAGCGTAGACACCAGACACAAGGGAAGGTGGAACAGTCTGTAATCGTGGAGCGGTGGGAAATAGATCGCACACTACAGTGTACGTATATGTCCATCTGCTGCATTCAATCGCTCTCCTATTGCACACAAACCTCTTCCTTTCTCCCTCGCTGACACTTCACATGAAGTGGGAAGATTAGGAGAAATGCTTGAAAGTAGTTGTATGATGATGCGATGTGATCCAAGCAGGCTGGCATGGCCACAGTAAAGCATGAAACAGCATCCTACCGGTTGACGGTGCAAGAGTGAAGTTGTCAAAAGGACGAGGTTTACTTCACCCACACGCGTTCTTATAACGCGCCGCACGCTGTAAACAACTTAAGCCAACGCTAGAGCCTGTCCTTGACCTGCGAAACCCATCAAACGCACACCATGACTGAACATATCCTTGAGTTGATTCCCATTTTTATCTACTTTGTGGTGTTGTGATGGACGTGAATAGTTTTGAGGAGGCGCCATGCACAGTTTCGGGCGAACTGCGGCACAAGCTCTAACACTGCGGGAATGAGGGACTCAAGGGCTTAAAGAGGGTCTGTAGGCGCATTAATTGGCTTAGCCAAAACGTTTCAACTTCGAGCGTTTGACGTTTGGGTGGAAGACACGCCTTCTATCTACAGTTGAAATGGGACACACTCTGCATGACGTGCTTAAAACCCACTTCTGTGGCACCTACAACTTCCACATAAGGATTCTTTTTTTCATTATCCACAGTCGATTGTCATGGTCGGAAGTGCTGATGAGCGACAAACGATTTCTCAGTGAGAGAGAGGTATCTAACCACTATTTAGATTCCATTGCTAATTTGTGTGTTACATTCGTAACCCCAGATCCGATTTTGCTTAAATGGGAAAAAGGACTGACACCTTTGACAAAGAAATCGGTGTTACTGAAGGGACTGCAATCTGGAAACAGGTGCGATTGTAGTTTGTATGGAAGTTACAGCTAAGGGCGCACAAACAACGATGCTTGCTCTCGTTCTATTAACCAAAGGTATGAGGCGCAACCAGTGACGTGGTCGATGGGCGCTATGGCAGATATACAGCTGGATGGAGGTGAAGGATGCGGATGGTCGTCCACTCGTCCTCTATCCTTCTGACGCCCAATTTCATGATTTGCATTTTAGATGCAGCCAAATACAGATTTGGTCGCAGGAGGAAGAGAGAGAATTGCTAGCGGCGCCTCCTAATCTGTGTCAGCAGAGCACGGGAATGGTGCTTCTGCTACTCTCCTTTCCATGGTTTGGTGGACGCCGTGGTACAGACGGTAACAATGTCGCCAATCACCTACACTGAATAGTTCAGTGGTGCTTCAAGAGTGACTGATAATGAAATGGGCAAAGTCGTGAGAGCATATCCCATGCCACACCAATGGCTGCAGTTCGTATAAAATCTACCGAAAAACGACGAGACAAGTGCAATGATGAAATTTTATGATTGCCTGAGAAGTAAATAAAAGGAAAAAGGAGGTATTTTGACATCAATTATTTAACTAACGGAGGAGGAGGAGGAGGAGGAGAAGCGAGCGTAGGCAGTAGTGAAGAAAATCAAAACCGACTTCATTGAACAAGGAGGTGATTGATAAAATGCATGCTATTCGTTCTCCTTCGCTTTGGAAAGCTTTGCAGCCTAATAGCATAATTATCGACACACGCCTTCAATTGCAAAATAGCTGTCAATAAATTTTTCTAACAAATGCTACTTACATGTAATCAGTAGAAGGAAGGGTGTGATTAATGACATGAGGAATTTGGGTTTAGTGGATGGCAAGCTTTTGTACAGGGACAAATGCCAGGCAAAGAAACAAATCACATTTGCGTTCACGTCATAGCATCATGAATTCAGACTGGTCTTCGTCAAAGTGGGCCATCCAAGCCATCACTTCGGTGGAAGGAGAAACGACACACTCGGCAGCGAAGCCAAATCAATTTGGTCGCACCTTACCGTATTTCCCACTATACTGCTCATCTTAGTTACGTCAATGAAAGGTTTGATCGGAGTTTGAAAGTGAGGTGCAAAGGTTACTAGTGATGGCATAAAGGAGAGCAAAGCAACGGAAAAGCAGTTTTGAGAATGACATGTCTTCTCGCCATCATCATGAGCGAGAAGGAGGCCGCTGATGCAAATATGCACCATCATTATAAGTTACTTTACAAATTTATGCTATCTAACTTTAAATCTTTTGACAGACTCGACAATTTAATATCTTCGACTAATTGGGTTTGAATGGTTGAGGAAAGCAGTTGGTTTTGCGTTGCCTTGATTCATTTGCCTTTAATATCCCTCCATTTTTCCTTCTCCTCATTCTGTGACTCCTCTCCAGACAAAGCTTGCATCCGATTGTATGCACTGCAGTGTCAGGGGTCGGTAGTTCTGTTAACGTAAATGACGGGTTTTATGGAAACGGAGGTGGTGGTGGTGGTGGTGGTGGTGGTGGTGGTGGTGGTGGTGGTGGTGTAACAAGCGAAAATTGCAGTGGATGTGGGGTACATAGCAAGTCGGATGACCAGAGGTTGCATGAATAGACGTCGATATCGCAAGTAAACCGATCCCTAACTTTTGCTAAACCTCACTCATTCAAATTCCTTTCACCCTCAAATAGCTCTAGAGACATGTCGCTGATATGCCATTTCAGTAGCACAATGCGATGAAGATTGAAAATCATCCACCGCTTCAATTAAATGCCAACATAGGAATCAGGAGACAAGTCAAAAAGGAAAATGAATGATGCACTACTAATAAAATTGCTGATCAAAGAGCTCCCATCCCAATACTACTATCAAAGTTTTATTCCTCACTTTGGAAATTCAACACAGGAAATGTCTCGCAACTTCCCCAATGAGAACACTATTCAACGCGACACAATGGACTTCGTGTGACTCATTTATAATTCCAATACAAAGCTCTTTACACGAACGCAAAAACCTATCATCTAAGACCTTTCGTCCGTTCACAACAATGATGACCGCTCTAACTGTAGGGTTTCAACTTATTCGTCCCACATCCATCCCCTCGGCGTAAAAAGAGCAGTTCTTAACCCCATCTTACTGCCTGAACGAGAGAACAAAAGACATTCGCACCACCGATTCAATCTTTTTGACCTCCACCCATCTCAACAGCTTCGCATTCTTCAAATACCCCCACAAACACGTTGCTGACATGCCATTTCAATGGCACAACGCGAAGTAGATATCAGAGCATCCAAGACCACATTTAATCACCAACATCGAAACCAGAACCAAAAACGAGCTTTACGCTATCGACAACATTGTTTTCCATATAGCTCCCATCCCCGTACGACTGTTGAAGATTTATTCTTCGCTTTTTTAAGAGGACAACTCAAGACCACTGCACGTGGTGAAGTGGAGCGTACAATCAACTGCCAAATCACCTAACAAGACCTGCATTACGCAAGTGCGGCTCTGCATGAGATGCTACTCCTCCTCCTCCTCCAGCTGCTCAACAAAATATTGAACTTATTCATGATTTGCAAGAACGACTACACAACAATATTTGCACCGAGCTCCAATCAGTCGGCCGTCCACTCGTGCTACTTCCAACGTTTTGTCGCCGTCAACTCCATCCCACAGTGATGCCTTCACCTGTAGTGTTTGCTGACATGAAATACACGAGATCACATGCTATGATACCACCAGCACAGCATGAGACTCATTTCCGAGAAGAGAAGTGCCCAGTACGGAGCCTAGCGCCTACACAAATCCCACATCAGGAGACAATTTGCCGACCACCCTCACCAATAAGAGAACAAAAGGCCGTTAGCAACTCTCAGCACCTGTGAGTACGTGAAAGCGACTTCGAAGTGAGCACTCGATTGATACCCTACCCCAGCCCAACGCCACAACTCCACTGCTTCAGGGAGTAACAATGGATCTCTACATTAACACCACAATCACAACTTGTCTCAATTGCTTCAACCTCGTGTAACTACAGTCGCCACGTCTGCACCCTCCTCCTCCTCCTCCTCCTCAGAGGACGTGGAAATGTCTGGGCTCTGCTCCAACTTTCGCACCAAGTACCAATGCTGCTGTAACGATTCTTTTGGATCCACTTGCAGACGAACGGATGTTGCAGGACGCTTTCTCGCGACCGGTGTTTCCGCCTCTTCCTCATCCTCTGCCTCCACCATTGAAACAGCTTCGTTAAGGGTAGACTCACTGGAAGTCCTTCTATTTACCGATGGCGCTAAGGCAGAATCTGGATCCACCTTCAAATGAACAAGCTTCTTCGCTCTCTTTCTAGTAATAGTTTGAGGCTTCTTTGAAGTATTTTGCGCCGAGACAGATACTGACTCGCACCTCACTACACCGTGAAGATCGACGACCTCTCCCTCAACGGTTACATGCTTTTCGGCTTTGGTGTGCTTCGACAAAGTTGCTAGATCGGGACTCAATTGATCAAGTGAGTCATGAATTAATTCAAGGCCAGCTTCATCTTCTACGGCTTGAACCGGATTCTCCGCAACTTCGTGATTTCTTGATTTCCTTTTCCTTGCCGCCTTCTCAGATGTTGCATTCCTCTGTATCACAAGTTCGGACGTCTCTTGAAGTTGTTCAGTTTTATTAAGCCGAACACTACAACCTTCATTCTCTCCTGCATAATTCCCTTCCAACAGTTTCGACCTCTTTTTCTTTTTAACAGGCGTCATCTCCTCCTGCGCTTCAGTTTCACCTAAAGTCCTCTTCTTTGACTTTTTTACTTGAAGATGAGAGGCTGTCTCTGTCTCCTCTACTTCGTTGTCAAAAGGAAGGCCAAGTACCTTCTTGGCCAAATTTCCCCGCTCCAAAACAGACAAAATACGACCCCAGAGGTGCATACCATGGCCAATGGGTGGACAAACCACTCGTGATAATTCCACTTGTACAAGGTCACGAGGAAAGATAGACACAGGGTCACCACTTTCTGCTTCATTTGGAAGAGGTTCCGCATCCTCGCCTTGCAGTGGGATGATGATGTTGAACGAAAAAGTGTCTTCATACCGACAGATTATGCGTTGAGGCTTGACGGCATTGACCATAGCATTCAAACGGAGACCAACACTGGCACGAAAGACAGTAGCATTCACCGAAAAATTCACCTGAAACGAGGCAGTGGAAACACAGTTAGAACCATTCCCAGTGCTCCACTTCCTTGACTGTCATCAGATCAACCATTATCGCACCAAACGCCGGAAGAAAATGGTTTGCTCATTAACTAATGACTCCGCCACATTCACAGGTTAATGCTCACAAAGCATAACCGAAACAGAAGAGAGTTGCCCCGCCACAGCTAAGGTTTCCTGTTCCCTGTCTATGCACAGGGCATTAGGCTACCAACAGTACTACTTTGTACTTTGCGAAATGTCAAAAGCTACTGAGATAGAAACAGAGAAATCCTTTGAGTAAGACACAACAATGACGTGTGCAGTGAATCTACAGCGATCCACAGAGGTTCAATAGAAGTGGGATAAGGTTAGAGGAAATTAGGTTCAGTGGATTGCACGCGTTTGCGCAAGGAATAGCGCCGGGCAAAGCAATAAAAACACGTTTGGATTGAGGTCGGCACAACATGAGTTGTAAATTGCCGTCATCAAAGTCGATTAACAAAGCTATTACTTAGGTTGAAGTAGAAACTTAACGTTCAGCAGCAAAGCGAAAGCAAGTGATTCCATTTCCACCGCATCTGACTTCATGCCACTCATCACAGCCATGATGAACACATTTTTATTTGACCAACCGCATCAAAAACAGAGGTGACAATGAAAAGTAGAGCACTATAAAATAAAAGCAAAACCTGATGACGATAGCACGAGATCGAAGTGGCTGGAAAGCAGTTTCAGGAACCACATACCCTGGCAAAGGGATACTCTGGAAGGAAGCGAATGATGCAGTGGGCACCATCATCTCGAGGCGTCGCCAATCCCGGTGAGGGATGTATCGCTTCTGACCGTTTATTAATGCCGATCAGTATGCCTCTTAAGTCAGGCACGTACTTATTCAACTGAGATCGCACGTAGAAGTACAAAGCCCTTCGAGGGGCTGAGAGCTGAAGTGGGTTCAGATTAAGACTCAACAACCATTGAACCTCAGTCATTGCTGCAAAAAAGTAAGGCAGATTGATAGGAGGACATCAAGCGTTAAAAGAAAAAAGTTATGACAAATATGGAGAATTTATGAAACAGGATGCTTTGATATTGCATGATAATGAGACGATTGCCATACCACGAACGGCAGTGCACGAGAGCACAGACAAAAAACAGACAGTTTAAATCTAGCATTTAAAATGGTAAACTGTGGATATAAAACCTTTTTAGCAAATTGTGATTTTGATAAAAATAGATTGACTTTTTTAAGTCTAGCATAAGAATTTTGATTATGGAATACATGCAAGTGTCCAATGTATTGCACAGAAATGTGCTCATATCCATATATTAGTCAATGTTAGTTTCCATTTATCTTTTTAAGGTGATCATGGCGAAAAAGTGAAAGTCGCTCCTGCTTTTGTAAGTTTATTAAAATGTTTCATTTAGATACTTCGCTGTAGTAGTTATAACGGTATTAGACTTTATAAAGGTGGAATTAGTCATTAAGATAGGCCAGTTGTATTTGATTTTATTAATAGGAAAGCAGAAATTGAGCCCTGCTTGATCTGAAGATCATTTTACGCGTGCAAGAGCAAGATGAATACCTTAATATTCGTCCTACAAACCGATGGTAGCATAAGCGAAGAATCTCAGTAATTCCTTGCTTATTGCCTTTCGTTATGCATAAAATTGTGTAAAAATGGTGGCATGTTGCTTCGTCTGTGTGTCATGTTGTAGCCTCTTTTTATTTTTTTCAGGCAAAAGCATTCATTCATGGTTGTTTTTCTTGCATGAGAGACAGAAGTGAAATTATAACGCCGAAATCGTGACCTCAATGGTCATATTATTGTTTACTTCCCCTTATAACCATACTCTTTACTCTTTGAAGTCGTAAGAAAAGCAATTTAAGGAAAATCCCTTCGCCTACTTTATCTGTCCTTTGGGCTCAGTTATAGTCTAATCATTCTGCCTTTTCTCGAAATACGCCTGATTAACTTTATCCAATGCCTTCTACTAGCTAAAGTTAAGCTCCGGGAATTCATACAAATTGTAGCGTCTAGGAGCTTCCCATAGGGTGGTAGAAGGCATAAGTGAGGTTGAATACATGTATTCCGAAGACGACAGGGCAACCACGTGTAGACAGACCAGACAAATTCTAAAGTGACCGCCAAACGCCAGGTAGTCACATAAACAACGCATTACACAAATATCATTCAAATATATTAGGTACCTGAGTCTTCTTAGAATGAGGGTTGTCTGCGTACCTCGACTTGAATGAAAAATGAACTAAATTACCGTTTCCATTCTACAAAGCTCAATTCGAGCAAGAATTATGTATTATAGGGTGCGCATGTCGAATGATGGCGGATTTACTTCGAAAATCACTGTATATATTACAACTGCCTTATCCTCACAGTCTGAAGGAAAGAAATCAACAATGTTAGTCACGTAAGTCAAAATTGCCGCTTTTCCATGTGGCGTAAAAACTTATTTTTAATGCATTACGCAAATGAGACTGTAGCACCTCTTTATTTCTCCACTATTTAGAGGAAAAGCAGACAACAGCATCTTTTAAAGTATAAAAGGAGGCAGACACAAGTTCTTATCTTCACTAATGCTCGTATAGCCACTTGTGAGTCAGTGCTCCACTGTCTAGTGCAACCATAAAAAATTAAGTGGCGGCAAATCTCATTAACTAGCCACGAGGCGTTGGTGAAAGTGGGACCAAATGTACCCTTGTTTGCATAGCAATCCGACGATAGACTAGGCGTGTTTGATTGAGAGTCTGAGTTGTGTCCTCCTAAGTGGTTATGCTGCTTATGTTGGCTGAGCTGGCCTCGAGGCCTGCCAAAAGCTTACTCATCTCCCCCAACTGACAACATTGTGGTGAGAGGTATTTTGGAAGGCACATGGCGCGGATAAAGGGGAAGTTCCTCTGATCTGACATGTGACCGTACTGAAACATCAAGTTTTAGCTAAACGCAATCAAAGAAACCTTTGTTCTGTTAAAAGTGTGTAAAATACACTATTTAACAAGGGAAAGAAGATATTGAATCAATCTTAATTTCTCGATAACTAAGTGGGCCATAAATTAAACCAAGTTAATCGGCAATTAACTAAGGCCTTACCCTCCATCACAGCACAAAATTGACAGTAAGAGCAGCAGAAAGCAAAAATTACATATTTATGCTAATCACGAAAGAGAGAGCAAGAGAGACCAAGGCAAAATCTAATTGTAAATTTTAATGAGTTTGGCTGCCTTTTTCCGTGTTTTCCCACACTCCTGGCAGGTACACACCTTCGAGCTCATTGGCCTTCTGACCAAACCACCAATCAAGACTTTATCTACTTCGCTTTCGTTTAGTGAAAATGTGGACTTTTACGGGCGCCTGGCACCCAACCACACGCTGCCATGTACGGGAGGAACAACTACCATGACGATGAGGTTAGCTTTGAGGTCATTCATAAATCGTCGAAGAGAGGATCAGGGAACCGCTTTTTGAGTGAAAATGAAAGACGAGTGAGTTACTTACTTTCTGGTACGAATTTTCTCGCCTTCTTGGACCCATAAATTTATTAGATTAGGCAGTATTTGGAGATGTCAAATCACAAGATGGCAGCAAAGTGTAATGCACATTTGATTTTCTTCTTTTATTATGATGGTTAAGGGAGCGAAATAGTGCTAAAGCATTTGCAATCACGTCAAATGAAAGTGAGAGGAGAAAAATAACACGTTGTGTTTGAAAAACGTAAAATTGCGGCAAGCACAAATGCGTATGGGAGATCACGAGTCAGAAGACACAAAAAGCTAAGCCATGTTTGAATATCCTTTGTTTTACTGAAGTAAGGCGACAATTAAATGCTAAAGTAAATAGGGAGTTGAAGCACTGAATAATCAACAGCGTTTAAACACAGAAGAAATTAAGATTAATGAGGGAGAAAGTAGATGTAAT